TCGATGTCGGAACGCTCTTAAGAAAAGCCAGAGAAGCCTAATTTTGCTTGGTGTAGATATACTGTCACGATTTATAGACTCCAGTATCACTTTCATAGGCAAAATATCCCAGAATTACAAAAGATTCATATAATTCCTTCATATAAATTACAACAAAACAGTGAAATATTTTAAAATAATTGAATACTTTGGCTGAAAAATATGGCGCATAAACACACCTGTCCCAATATTTTTCATAAGCACAGAAAACAGCAAATCGCAAAATAAAACAATTAAAAATATCACCGAAAAAAAAATCAACAAAATAATTTTCAGAAAATTTAAATATTTTACGGTCAAAAAAACTAACAAACTTGAGATGGCACATTGCTCATATTCAAATACAACACAGAGTTATTTTTTTGCTGTTATATAATCACACAAAATTTTACCGTTCCATATCTTCAAAGACATTAAAGGAAAAAATGAAAAAAAAAATATCGGGATCACGAGCAAGCCAAGTGACAAAGAACTGATCAGAGCAAATGGAAAAGTTGCCAGCTGCATAGCTCGAGAACCGGACTATGAATTATTGCCAGTCTAATTTGAATCCAGTGGCACTTCCGACAACTGCTAAATTCTGGTACTTCGATGAGCTGCTAAACTGTCATGTCAGCACATTCTAGAAAGAATGTTACCCTACGTTTAGAAGGGTAGATTAGGGTAGATAATTAGGCCCTCGCCTCTACTAACATATATCGATCACTGTACTGACATTGTTGCTGTTCAATAAACCCACACGGACGCCTGTCGACACACAGACACTCCAACTCCACACAGGTCCTCGACAACAGCTCGACTAAGGTAAGTTCTTCCAAATTTATCTTCACATAAATTCATCAATATGCTTTTTTTTTTCAAAATATACTTTTAATCAATATGCTTTTTTTTTAATATTCGTCAATATTCAGTTTCTCTATTCCCCTAAACAGTACGATGTAAAATTGAGGTTTCAAAAAATAGAAAAAGCTGTGAAATAAACTAGGGCATATAAGTTTAGTATAAATCTGAGTGTCGTTTTCGTATACAAAACGCTGATGTTCAGCTAGAATCTGCTGCTGCCGGAAGCACCCAACACAGAAAGGCTCACATACGAGGCTAGTAAAGACCCCTTATACAGATCCGAGCTGGATCTATGCATCGCATTACTGGGCTTCCCAGTGTTCGTTTAATATCTCGAGCTGCTTAGATTAAGATTCAGGAATCAAAACTTCCAAAAAAAAAGTAATTCTCAAACATAGTTTCTCCAGTGCCCATATAATGAACTGCAAAATTTATCTTCTGAATTTATCGCTTTTTACGTTCTCTCCTCCACTTCTTGAATTTATTTTTCGAATCTGAAGTGCCATGAAGATAACGCCTTTTCATATTTAGGCGTCGATAATTTTCATTTTTCCTCCTCCTCACAACACCCCCTTCGTCAGCAAACGGCCTACTGTTTTCATCTTCACTGTCAGATTCATCAGTTTCTTTTTCGGGCATTTCTTTGAAGCCAACATTGTCGTCAGTTGCTGAAGAAGTGCCTGGAAGAGAGTCTTCCTGAAAAATAAAATTTATATGTACAAATATAAGTTTAAATTTTACATTAATTTTTCCATTTACTCTCCTCGTTTTTGTACGCCGCAGTGCATTGGGAATAACTGCGGAATTTATATCTGAGATTCTTGGATCATCTGTAATTCACAGATCTGGTTCTCCAACTATACAGCTGACAATTTCTCGCTGATGATTAGTTTTCTGGCGATCCTGACGTTCGTTTTGCCTCCCTAGCAGATTATCCCAACAACTCGTCAAACAGAAGTACGTGGCAAGACTTCAGCTGATATTTCCTTGATACACATTCAACGTCACTACCTCGTCCTGAACGTTGCCCCTTCTAGACCACAATTAGAGAATTCCAGAATTTCAGAATCTCAGAATTTCCAGAATTCTGTTGTCTGGGGAGCGGTTAAAATACGTACACAAACGCTATTGAGGAGAAAAAATTTCCACAGAGTAAGACTCTGTTTTCAATCTTGAAAAATACTAACTGAGCCAAGAAGATTGAAAAGCCGACTGGATGTTGCAATTGGCCTTGACAACAGCGTTGGCTTCTGTGGTGATGGGAACGAAACTGGACCAGACGATGAGGATGATGGATGCTTTCGTGGCGAACGACGCAAGTACTGGGTCTGCTCTTCAGTGTCCACTGAAATACGCATTGTGTTAACAAGCTCAAAAACTTGAGGCTCTTTTTCACTTCCTGGGATTTCTTTGTTTCGTCAACTCTGAATTTTTGTTTTCGAAAAAAAAAAAAATCAGTGAAAGAAAATGAATCGTCCTTTGTGAATGTGTTTGAAAGAAAAATAATTGACCCTCGAAAAGAAAGCCCTCGAAAGTCCCCTTCCTTAAGAATAAGTCAGTAAAAATCTGCAGTTATACCCATTTCCAGCTAAAATCCAGTTGGGATCCAATTATATCTATTTTTTAAACAGCAACTGTAAGACATATAAAAACCAGTTGCATAACTGAAGAATCAGACTATAGAATTGCAGCTGATCCAGGTATGTAAAGAACAAGACGTACTGTTGAATGACACTCAATTTATGTTAAATAAATATTAGGAGGGCAACCGGGACGGTGGAAGGATCCATTTGAACGTCTCTATAAAAGTTACGTGAACGCGACGAGCTCAGAACCGAGTAGAGTAGAAACGCTTCTAGGTGTGTCGATGACTAGAAAGGGTACACTGATGAAAATATAGGCAATAGAAGTACCAAAAAAAAATTACAGAAGAATAGTGCAAACTCACAAGAAGCAGTTTCTCCTTCCTGAGAAACAGGTAATACAAGTGTGTCGGAGCCAACGACAGCCTTGCTAGTGGATGGTTGCTCTTGATACTTGCTACTGCTCGGTTCACTTTCCATTGCCTCCGCCTGTTGTGTAGAATGGAAATGTAGGGGAATTCTCCTGATGACTTCTGGCTGAGATAGAACGTAATCCTCGGCTACCTAGAAAAAAATTTATATTACACAAACAGTATCCAGAACCCTAGAAACCGCAGCAGCAAAAAATTCAATACCAAACCCACAAAGCAATGCGATCATACGTTTCTGCGCTAAACTTGAAGCAACCAATTGTTAATTGTATGAATGATTGTTGCTTTACAAATTACGGGGTGCACTCACATTCTGTCCTGTCTTTTTACCCATGCAGGAGAAATAGACGTCGGCTGAGACGGTAACGTTGCATTGCAGGGCTGCGTGAAATCTTAACCTCCAGCGGTACGAGTTTGAAAGCTTCCCGTCAGGATTTTGACATCTCTGCACGTGAGACGTAGTCATACTTAGGAACTGAATTTAAAGTCGTTGTGTCGCACATGCACAGAGAGCATCCTCCTAAAATTTCAGCTTTTTATCTTACCTGATCTCTGAGTTAAAAATTTTCCCACCGAAACTCCTAAGTGCTCATGCGTGAGACTCAGGCGCGCACGGAAGTTAATGTCAGGTTCCAGTGATCACATTTGGCCAAGGAATGCAGTGGCAAAATTTTAGCATCTAAGGTTATTTAGTTGTCGAGCTGAAACACACGACAGACAGACACACAGACACATGCATACATGCACTCATATAAAACAGCTAGCACTGCAACAGCCAGCAAAAACACGCAAAAACTGAAGAGGATGATGCAAAAATGTGACAGAAAAAAGTCACACCTAAAAACTGCTACTTTTGAAGATTTAAAAAAAAAAAACCTTGCTGAGTGGAACCGTTGCGACATGTTGAAAGCCTTCCAATTTATTCAAGTTGCGAGAAGCCGATCGTTTTTGAGGAGAAATATTTTTTTGGGGTGACGGTGGACGATAAGCATATGATGATGAAGGATGCTTCCGAGGTGAGCGCCTCAGCACCGGTGATGTCGCACCTAGAATTAAATTTACCAATAATGCTGATGTCATTTGAAAAAGTATCGGAGTGTGATTTGATGTTCGTAATGTAATTAAAATGCAACCACATGCCGTGTCATACTAAATTTTTCGTTCCTGAGCTGTAAACCTTC